CGTTACCCACTTCCAACTCCAGCGAAGAAAAACTCTCGCTACTCGTGGTGTGTGAACCTTTAGCGGGTCATCGCCATATCTTGGAAACAACCATCCTTCTGTCCCCAACGCAGCGTCTCCTACTTCTCGTATCAATCAGGGCGACCATCTGCCTCCTCTGCCACCACCACCACTATGCTGCTGCGACGTCCGACCTTCCTTGCGATCCTATCAAACCACCCAACTTCCTTCCATCCTCCCGAGCTATGGTCGTGTCACCCCCTCCATGACGTTGAGACACTTCGCTTTGACTTGCCTTGATGGCTGTTCGTGCGACGCATAGCGTAAGCCTGCTACGTCGGGTGCACTAAGCGGTACCGACCTTCCAATACCTGCTCTCAGTGGACGACAAACGCAACAGTGTATCTTTGGATCCTTTTTGTATAAAGGGACGCTGGGCCCGTTTCCTGGCAGGTGCTGCTCCCCACCAATAGATGGATTCACCCAGAGAGTGCTAGTGGTGCTTGCTTTCACACTAACGGTTAATGGAAGGCCAAAGTTCGCCGAATTTTGGGCCTTCCATTAACCGCCTCTCTGCTTTCACCAGCACCCCTAGCATTGCCATGGGTTGAACGGAAAAAAAAAAAAAAAAAACATAAAGTAATTAATACAGTAGCCTAGGGCACTCTCATGCAGCCAAAGCCTCGGGGATAGCTCAACCTTTTAGACCCAATCACGCAAACAAAGACCCTTTCCACTCAATGGCTCAAGCTTCTGTTCCTAGGTCTTGTACCATGGAGAAAGCTGGCCCTGGAGCAAATCAAGCGGCTGCCCCCCCCCCCCCCCCCCCCCCCCTCTTTGGACAACAGAGCCGCTCCGAGTCGCCTGGATCGAGGACCGCTATTGGACACTTCCGCATGCACATTCTAGACCCCGTTGTGACGAACCAATTTCTGTTCCGCGCGATTTTCTGCGCGATGACAATGAAGGGTCTAAAGATGGGAAGGTTGGGCCAATTACGGGAGATCGGGATCGAAGGAAAATTGCATCAGTGTCCTCGCTTCTTCGTCTTTTCTCTTTCATCGCTGCATTTCGGATGGCTGGGTCAACAGGAAAAAATGTGGGCATTTTTTTGGGGGGTTTATCAAATGTGTGCACCCTTTTTAAACTGTTGGTTTCGTGTTAATAAACAGTTTGGCGGGGGTGGTGTCATGTGTTCCATCAAAAGTGAAGGAACTCAACGTTGATAACATATGTCATAAACATGTGACACTGTGTTCAACAATTGTTAAATTGTTGAAATGTGATAATCAACTGTTGAACATTGTAGATATTGTTGGGAATATTTGAGAGAGAGAGAGAGAGAGAGAGAGAGAGAGAGAGAGAGAGAGAGAGAGAGAGAGAGA